ATGGAAAGTGAAGGAAGGTCCGTAATCCAGACTGCTAATGGGCAGAGAGGTGACCCCACTGCCGCTATCGCTCCAACTGATGCTTAAGGTGCAAATAAGATCTATCCAGGTAAAAGGGTCGGGATCACGGGGATTATGGAAGATAAAATAAAAAGAGGGGTATCTCAGGCTGAAAGCAGCATGCATAAAAACTCAAGTGAAGGTGGTTTTGGTCAACTCTAAAGTTTAGTCTGGCTGAACAGAAAACAAAGGGGAGAATGACAAGAGGAAATGTGAAGAATACACAGATCACTCAGGGCCTTGCAGGAGTTGGATTTTAGCCTAAGGGCAGTTAATCACACTGGTGTGTGTTAATCAGAGGTGTGACGTCAGATTCGCATTTCAGAAAAGTGTCTCTGGGCTGCTGTGTGCAGGGAGATGATTTAGAGGGTGGATGAGAGTTCCCACAGGAAACAGCATGCTCATGGGGTTTGAGCAAAGAAAGTTTAAGGAAGAGCTACTTACAGAAGTGTAGGCAGATCAAGGCAGCCACGAAGAGGACAGTACAGCACCCAGGAGGTAGCAAGAGCAGAGCCTTCACCACACACCAAGCCAAGAGGGTCAAGGTAGCACAGCTGTGCACCAGGGCTTGGTGGGACCTGAAGCCGGGAAAGTGACCACCTGACAAGCTGTGGCTCCAGAGGAATGCCACCGCAAAAACCATGCCCGGAGGGAAGAAGGAGGGATACCCTGACTTTCATGTCCTTCTGACCCTTGACTTTTCTGCCTCTGCCTCCCATTGGCCTAACCCTACCAGAAGACTGATAGCACAGGAGCCCATGTGATGCCATCTGTAAAGGTCAGCCTCCTGGATACAGAAGGATGTAGAGGAGAAAACAAGCACAGGAGGCCTGTTATGGACTGAATGTTTGCATCCTCCACTTCCCATTTTGATGAAGCCATAACCCCCAGTGTAATGGTATTTGGAGGTAACCAGATGTAGATGAGGTCATGAGGGTAGAGCCCACAATGGGAGTAATAACCTTACAAAGAGCAAGAAAGATGAGTCTATTCCTCACATGTGAGGAAAAAGCACTGTGTCTGTAAATTAGGAAAAGGGCCCCCACCAGGAATAAAACCTGCTGGCACCTTGACTTTGGACTTCCCAGCCTCCAGAACTGAGACATAAATGTCCATTGTTTAAGCTACCCAGCCTATATTATTTTGTTATGCCAGCCAATGTTGATGAAGACAAAGATCCAGTGACAATTCCAGCATTATGTTGGGTTTGATCTAGGGACATGGCATAGCAGATAAATGGTTAGATTTGAATGAGATTTAGTGAGTCCATCCAACTAGAGAACTTGTGTCCAAGTGGTGATGGGCACAGAAGCACTATGGCCATGGTCCACAGAAGGGACCTCCTTTCCCCCTCCATGTGGGAAGAGGAGGGCTCAGGCATAACTACCACCCTTTAGCAAACTTACTCCTCCCTAGGAGAGAAATGATTAATGCAGTAGGTCAGAATGTGACATCCACAGTGCCATGATTCCCTAGTGGAGAGAGAGATGTGTTGATGCTCTTACACAGCAAGGCTTTTCCTCACTTTTTCACATCCAGCATCCACATCTTCCAATGGCCTTGATCATGGGAAGAATTAGTCCTCTGAATCAGGGCCCCTCCTATGCTCTGGCCATATGTCTCACCCAGTGATCCTGGGCATGGGCTTCTGCTCTAAAGGCCAGATCTCCCCTCTAAGGGCATAAGGTTAGACTTGCAGGGTTGTAGGAGGGGAGGATGTTTGGGGATTTGATCATGGTTTAGACCCAAGTTACATTTTTCAGCCCACCACCTCCAATAAAGTTCACGGCTTGATCTCGACTGAGATATTCCTGTTGTTTACCTTTCAATTAGTTGTGAGGTAAGAGAAAATACCTCCAAAGACCCCAGCATATGTTCCTGGTTGTTCAATCAGCAAATGTTCACTAATGTCCTGCACAACACTTAAGATTTCTAAATGGTAGTTGGGAAGCTGCCTTTTTATCCAAAAAGGAGAGCTATGTTACTGGGGGCTTGCCACTCTTTTCACAAAGTGTACTGAAGGGAAATGGTTGTGCTCCAAACCAGAGGGGTGTCGTTACCAAATTATATATGACTAGAATCATAAAAACAGCTGTTAAATACGTATTTGTGTCTGTAATCACTTGGATATACAAAGTTACCTTATACCTGTTTACTGCAATAGAGAGGTTCTAATACAGATCTGTATGGGCTATGGAACAGCACGGGCCCAGAGGAAGATCAAATAATGCAGACCAGAATGAAGTAAGAAGTCCAATAAGGGCTGCAGCACCTGACAATACAAAGTTCGTGCCATGCATCTGTAGCTTGAAATAATGTTTGTGAACTGAGCTTAATAGCCCACTAGCCACTTTAATTTTATCCATGCCTACTTGCTCCAAAACTGATTGAGTATACATATTATAAATTATTTGCAATTTGTAACAACCATTCTCTTTATAAAGTCTAAAGGTCAGGAACCCCTTTGAGTATTATTGACAAAGATGTTTAGTTCAGATATCTGAGCACAAGCACCTTCTCTGTAAAGAAAGGTGTGTATTTCTAATCCAAGAGCATCACATTTAAATAAGCAGAAGTAGCTGAGATATAAACATTGGTGATTAGTTACAAGAAGCTGGCAATCCCATTGTCTTTGTCTTAGCACCTTTTTGTCAAGGAACTCAGACTAGGGTCTGAGTGCACGTAGTTTATTTTGGATGTGATCCCAGGAAATGGGAGTAAGACAAAGGGAGCAGCTGACAAAGGCTAAGTTACTAAGCTTCTGGAGCTTAGTCCTGTTGAGGGATTCTGGGAGCTACAGTAGGAAACAAGCCTCAGATTTATCCCACCCAAGAAAAGAGGGAGCCAACAGCAACTTCCATTAGTCACTAATTGAGGGCTCCTACTGTACATGTTAATTAACTGTTGGATGATAGGGTAAGTCCTCAGGCTGAGAAGCAGGTGCTGGTGAATGGGAGTCAGGCCAGCATGCCCCGAGGTGGAAGGAGCTGAAGGATCCCAGGGAAGGGCAACAGCAGTGTCTGCTATACCCAGCTACAGACCTTTGGCCTCCTCTACTATTATGTAGAGGGCCTGGATGGAATGAGTGCCCAGGATGATGCAGAAGGGCACTGAGTGATAATGCTGGACCAGACCAGCAGGCAGGCATTACCCATGGAGTATCCTGACAGGAGTCAAGGACACTGTGCTAGAGACTTCACAGCAGGATGTTACTAAGCACCTTACTTATGTTCAAATGTAAGAACCCAGGAATATGAAGAAACAAAAAACTAGGGCCCTAGACAATCTGGTCTGAGCCTGGTTTCCTGTGGTCATGTCTAAACAGTTCAGACCTGAGTGTCTCTTTTACAGGGGATTTTACGTGTTTGGAAAAATTCCCTCTCTCTAAGACTGTTGTCCTAATAGTAATGTCCTGATTTCTCAAGCAAACCTCAATCCATATATTGGCAAGGAAGGGCCTCTTAGCTCCTTACACACTTCACCCTCTCCCAATTTCCCAATGTTGGATCCTCATCTAGATAAGGTGTTCCTTATGGTGCAAGTAACTGAAACCAGCCTTAAATGAATGCCCAAAGATTTCCATTCATCCAAACAATGCTTCTCAAAGTGTAGTTCTGAGATCCCCTGCCCCAAGACTTGGAGGAACTTGTTTAAAAGGTACATTTAGGGACTCCATTCCATACCCATTGAATCTGAATCTCAGAGAATGATAGCTGTGTCTTTTTTCTCAATTCCCATTTATTTTTGTCTCTTGGGACAATGTCATCTTTTCAATATAAAAAAAAAGCAAGTTTAACACAAAATAGCAATCTCAAATGTAGGATAGAATAACCAAGTGTAGTGGGGGGAAACCAACAGCAAAAGGAAGATATGAGATGTTGCAATGACAATGGAGGAGGGTTCCGTTCTCCTCTGGAGGTTAACTCAAACACTGATGTGGCAGTATACACCATTCTACATAGTCAGGGATGTTAATTCCTTTTCAGGCTAAGAAAAGGTGGGGATTAGGACATTTCTGGAGGCTTGGGGAAGAGCTGCTTTTCCCCCCTTTGATACCTTTCTTAGATCAGGGGAAATTCCATCTGACAGAGTGGGGTGGATTTCCCTTTAAAACTTTTTAGAATGGAAAATCCTATCCACTCCCTTATGTCATTTTCTACTTTGGGCCTAGGATGGTGGCCATCTTCTACATGGGTTTTCGGCACCTCATTGGTTCTAAGCGGGATCTGAATGAGACCCAGCTTCTTGGAGATTTTTAAGAGGGAAATACTAACGGGACAGATGGAAAGGATGGGTGCCAGAAGGCAGAAACCTGGGCTTCCCAGACCAGAAAGAGAAGAGACATTCAACAAACAAGAATTTATTGAGTGCCTACTATGTGCCAGGCACCCCAAAAGAAGAAAACAAACAAGATATGCACAGCAAACACAAATTTTGAGGGCCAGCAAAGGGGCAGTTGAGCAAAACAGCTAAGGGAACTGAGAATCCTGATGTAATGGGGGCTGTGCCTTAGGCCTCCTCTTCTGTGGTGCATCTTGCTACTGCTGATACTTAGAGACGAGGTCATTCATGTTTCCCTCAGCCTCAGTGAACTCCATCTCATCTGTGTTCTTGTTTATGTAGCAGTGCAGACATGTCTTCTGTCTGAAATATGGCAGTGAACTGCTCCAAGATGCCCTTGAAGAGCTCCCGGCTCTGTTGCCGATGAAGGTGACGGCCATCTTAAGGTCACAAAGTAGGATGTTACAAATTGCTGTATTTATGTTGTGTGGAATCCACTCCACAAAGTAGCTGCTGTTATTGTTATGCATAGCTAACCATTTGTTCACTGACGTCTATGGACATCCAACAGTGAGGTGTTGGCCATGGTGGGGGTCGCAGTCGATCATCATGCTTTTTACATGGAAGATATGCTGGGTTAGTTGTGGCACTAGGAGAGCTCAATACTGCTGGCTTTTGCTGCTGGTGAGAGGAGCAAACCCAGGCATAAAGAAATGGAGATGTGGGAAGGGGACCATGTTTACTGCCATGCTGGCTGAGACCAGGAGGTGCAGATGCCCATAGGTTGGTGTGGTCAGCTTCAGAGTGTGGAAGCAGATGTAGAGAGCCTTGTTGTTGATGCAAAAGGTCTCATCAGTGTTCTCCACCAACTGAAGGATGGAGAGGGTGGCATTGTAGAGCTCAACCATGGCGTCAGACACTTTGGGTGAAGACATCACACTGAGGGTGTTGGTGATGCAATCGGGGTACTCTTTAATCTTACTGAGGACAAATGTACCCATCTCAGAGTCTGTGCCCCCACCCAGTGAGTGGGTCAGCTGGAAGCCTGAGGGCAGTCACAACTCTGCCACCTTCTATACCACATGAGGACAGAATCAACCACCTCAGCCCCTTCTGTGTACTGGCATTTGGCCAGCTGTTGCCTGCTCCACAATGACCAAAAACAAAGTTGCCTGCTCTACTGACGATCTAGCAAAAAGGAACTGAGCGAACACAGTCCATGGTCCGAGGTTTTAGATCCACCAGAATGGCATGAGGAACATATTTGCCACATGTGACTTCTTTGTAATACCCGGAATGTGATCTGCTTCAGATTGTGGAAGCAGATGTTGCAGGGAGCCTTATAGTTGATACAAAAGGTCTCATCAGTGTTCTCTACCAACTGAAGGACAGAGAGGGTTGCATTGTAGGGCTCAACCATGGTGTCAGACACATTGGGTGAAGGCACCACATGACAGGTGTTCATCATGTTATCAGGGTACTCTGCTTTTATCTTAGGAGGGTACTACAGAGCCTGTGCCCCACCAACCAGGGAGTAGGTCAGCTGGAAGCCTACAAGCAGTAACAGCTCTCTGCCTCCCTCCATACCACAAGAGGATAGAATTTGGAAAATGTGGTCCCACTGTAGGTAGCTGCCCCCATGGTAGGTGCCAGTGGGGTCAATGCCACATTTATCACTATACCCACAACTTGGCACTGATCTGGTTGCCACAGTGACCAGCTTAGATGTGCATGATTTCCCTCATGGTTAAAATTTAGTTTTTTTTGCTCACCTCAACCTATGTATAGTGCAAGAAAATATGTAAATTTTTTCTCTGCTGGTCACAGGCTGAAATGCACCCCAGAGACTGGAGCAGTGAGGTGCAAATGCAGTGGCAGGAAGGTTCTGAGAGGGAGAAAGCAGCTGTACCCTTAAGAAGCAACCTAGATGATTCTAATACATGACCTAGACTTGTGGTTCTCAAATTTTTCTACACATTCAAATCACCTGGGGATCTCCTTAAACTCCCAATCCACAAGCCACACTCAAGGCCAGTTAAAACATCCTAATGTCCAGATCTCCTGGATTCTGGCTTAAGACTCCCAAGTGATTTCAGTGTTCAGCCAACTTTGAGAACCAGTGACCTGGCCTATAGCTAGTAAAGATAAAGTGGTTACATGATTGACTGAGAACATGGGTTTTCTCAGACTTTAAATAATTTTTCTCAAAACACACCCTTCTTTCCTCTTGGACTTAGAAATCTTATATAAGACTTTAAATTTACATGTGAGGAAGCTGAGTCCTAAAAGGTAAAATTAGAGTGGGCAAACAGCTAATTAAAATGAGATATGTTTTCATTCAATGAAATAAATGTTCTTAAACACTCAGTATTGGCACTAAACCTTTAAGTCACTGGCAGATGGAAAATCAGATTTGTTACCCTAACCTTCCAAGCATCTCCCTTGTATGATTTAAAGAGGATTTTTAGGCTGGGCATGGCCTCATTACCAGGTGTGGCAGTGCATGCCTTCAGTCCCAGCTACTTGGGAGGCTGAGGCAGAAGAATCTCTTCAAGGCAGGAGGCAGAGGTTGCAGTGAGCTGAGAATGCACCACTGCACTCCAGCCTGGGTGACAGTGCAAGATTGTCTAAAAAAATAGAGTATTTTATATGACCTTACTCTGTACATTTTTCTCTTAGTTTCTAATATTTCCATGTCCCGAATAATCTGCTTAAACGATAACAGCAGAACTTATGGCAAAAATTTGAAAAAACATAAAATCCACAAATAAGAGTTAGGTCCTCCAAACCACCTATTTTAAAAAGCCACAGGCTTTTAATGAACAAAATCAACACATACAAAGCTTTGTATATACATAGTACAAGGCTGAAGTATTTTGACATTTATCTCAACATTTGTAAGTATATAAACCATTTCTTCTGTTTAACATAGTATTGGAAGTTGTGGCCAGAGGAATTGGGCAAGATAAAGAAAAGGCATCCTGATATTGGAAGAGAGGATGTTCCCCTACAACCATGGGATGCATATTTAACATGGTACCAGGATCTAGAAGCCAGCAAGGGGAGACACTGAGAGGACACTCCCTGTCTTCTGCTCCACTCTGGATCATACAGAAAGGAAGAAGGCTAAGAGGATGGCTTTATTCTCATTTCTTTTTCTAAATGGATAATAAATTATCTCCAGGTCGCACACCTATGTAGTGCACTCTGAAACACTGGAATTTCCTTAACCTCAAAACCTTAAAAAAAGCAACTCATTTTCTTTTACACAAGGGAATTACATTTTCACTAAACCTTTGCAAGCATTGTAAGATCAACTCAGCTCTTTCAGTGATTGTATCAGGCAGGTCCAGAAAAATAGTTTCCCAAAATCAAAAAAAGCAACTTTCAGGGGAAGCATCTGAGGATCCCCCTTAATTAAGGCCCCCTCAAGTTCCTGTCTCTTTACAAAACCGTGGGCAAATAAAGGAAAACTTAGGCTAATTTTCTAAAAACTAATGGGTATATAGAAACTTTCCAAAGTTTAACTCAGGTGTTTAGCCTCACATGCAGGAATGTTATGCTGCTCCTAAATCACACTCTCACCATAGCTAATAAAGGAAATACTTCTGCAAGCAGCAGATAATTTTGGAGGCGAGCAATGTATCTCCCATAATACACCAAAAGGTAATAAAGCAGATAGGGAAAGTGAAGAAATAGAAAAACATCATTCCCAATAGGGAGGAAAGCAGTTCTGGGAAACAACCCTAACTAGAAACTCAGCAGCTCAGGAAATAAATGGAAAGAAAGCACTTTTAAATATGCATTTTTAGAAGGCCTATGGAAAACCAAGGCCAAACCTCTCAAGTACTCTAAACTCTCTATAATGATAAGAATCCTGTAGGCTTTCTGGAAAGGTTAAGAGAGGCACTAATAAAGTACACCTTCTTATCCCCTAATTCAGTTGAGGAGCTGGTTATCCTGAAGGACAATTGTATTACACAGGCAGCTCCTGATATTAGAAGGAAACTATAAAAGCGATCGATGGAACCAGATAGCATCCTAGAGACCACTTCGAAGGTGGCCACTTTGGTCTTTTATAATAGGGACCAGGAGGAGGCTCAAAGGAAAGGAAGCACTGGAGAAGGACAGAGGCTCTAGCAGAAGCTTTGCAGGCTTATAAAGTCCAGAATCCCCAGGTTGCATCCACTAGTTCCTATTGGTGTGGCAGGCCAGGGCATTTTAAGAAAGAATGATCAGGCAAAAGGAAGAAGAAACTTTGATCTTGTCCAGGCTGTGGCCAAAAACAAAACAAAACAAAACAAAACAAAAAGTGGAAATGAGACTGTCTCCAGAAGTGGTCAATAGGTTCAGGACTAGTCTCACAAATGGTCCAGCAGGACTGATGGGTCCTGGGGCACCAAACTTGGTTCTAGTGACTCAAACTGCCATTGTAGCAAGAAGCTCCCAGATGATTCTGGAAATTAAAGAAAGAAAAGGAAACCTCTTTCTAAACATGAGAGCCAGTCTCTCTCATTTCTCCTCTATAATCCAAACCTCCCCTCTTCCCATAGCACAATCATAAGGGACATCTCAGGAAAGACTAATTAAATATTTTTCTCAACTTAGTATTAGTTAGGAGGGTCTATTTACACATGCTTCCAAGCCATTGTCCTTACAGCTCTACTAGTCAAAAAAACCTCCAAGTTAACCTTAGGAAATAATTCAACTATTTACAGCCCACATAATGTGGCAAGATCACTGTCCTCTTAGCTAGCAAACAGCTGGTAAAGCAAGAAGTATATAAGGCAGGATAAGCAGTAGTCACTTTCTCAAACACAAGCACTCAATTAGTTGAGCTAATAGCTTTTACAAGAGCACTTAAGAAAGGGAAAGGTAGCTAACATAAATACCCTGAGTACGCTTTCCTGGTTTTCCATGTTCATGCTGCTATTTAAAAGAAGAGGCATTTCTTACCACTAATGAATCTCTTATAAAATATCACCTGGAAATTAGCAGATTATTATCCTCACTTTTTCTTCCACAAAAGCCAGGATGTATTGTAAGAAACATCGAAAGTAGTAACAATAAGGTAGCTGAAGGAAATAGCTAATCAGGCAGCTAAGTCTAATATATGAAAGCTTCAAGGCATTAACACATTTCAAGCCCCTTCTAATCTAAAAAGGCTCCATAAAAGAAATTAAACCTCAGTATTTCCCTGCAAAAATAGAATAGGCCACTTCTCATGGACGTACTTTTCAGCCCTCAGGATAGCTACAGTCAGGATGGCAAACTGTATTTACCAGCCTGCAGCCAATAAAACTTTCACCAGTAAAATCTTTCACCAATATTTTCTCTTGGGAAAGGATAAAACTTGTCAATGTGCTCAGACATTGTTTTCAGGCAGATATCCTCTAAATTAAACATGTAACCTCTCTAGCTTATTTCCAACGAGAAGTACAAAGCAAAAGACCAACCCCCCAAAATAAAACTACCTTTATTTAATCCAGGAAATTTAGTATTAGTAAAAAACTCTTCTCTCTCTCCTTCCCAAAGCCAAGCTGGGAAGGGCCCTACACTGTTCTTCACTCAACCCTCTCAGCAGTGAAAGTTACAGGAATCAATTCCTGGATACAACACACTCAAGTCAAAGCCTGACGAGCTGAGGGAGCCACCCCTAACAACCCAGAGGAACAACTGAGTATCAGTGTGGAGAAAGAGAAAACATTAAGTTAAAAATCAAAAAAGATAAATGAGGGCTACTCATCATACCCAGTTCCACCTTTACCTCAACAAATAATTTTTTGTCATTTCTGCCCTTTCCTCTCAAAACTTGCCACCAAATAATAGAATTTCTTTTTAATGTGTATTTTCAGGGCAACTTTAATTGTACATGGTATTGCATTTGTAACTTGGTAAATCCCTAAAGGGAAATGGTATATCTTGGCAAGCACAGTTTTAAACATTTTTTGCTATGCCACTCTTGTGGAAAGTGTTATAGTCATGGTACTATTTGCAATAG